AGTATACAGAATATATTAAACCAGGCACATCAGTTTTCTTACATGAATATGGCTGGTGGGCATAAATGTATATATGTATTTTCATACTAAATATATTAACTAAATCTGTATAGTCCCAATATAATTGAAAGTTTCATAATTTATTGATGGATTCCAAAAGATATGGTCTCATAAGCAAAAAAGTGTGGGTTAAGAAAACTGTTGCTTTTAAGCAAAAGAAACTATTTAGAGATAGCTTAAGACAGATGTGTATCAGTATGTCTATGTCCCCAACAGAAGGAATCAGGGATCCAGCAAGCCCAGATTCTAGTGAGTCAACATTAGTCTTGCCCTGTGCTCCCTGTCCATCTGCCTCATTGATCATCTCCATCAACTGGTCATGTGGCCAAGGATGCGTCATTTCTCTTTACACCTCAGCTGCATACAGTGATTGTTTTGATTCCAGATTGTAAAGAGGGTCAGGATGTCCTAAATTTTGTATTCATCCTGGTTTGCTGAGATGGCCAGTTGTGAGTTAGGAAGTAAAATCATAGCATTAGAAAGCCTACTCCTCAGAGGGCCAAGAGAAGGTTCAGAATTACAGAGGCACTCAAAATATTTTCTTAATATTTAGTTTCTTAAATTTCAGTATTTTCCTATATAGATTTACATACTATATTTTAGGATATAGATATCATTATTAACATATAAAATATATCCCCTATTCCTATAGATGATGAAAAATTTTGTTGAAAAGGTACTCAATTTTTTTTCTATCCAAAATATTGTAAACTGGAATAATTTTGACTCAAAATAGATTAGTATTGAATAGTCGTGGCAGTGATCCTGGAAAGGAATAGCTGTCCAAATGATTGATGCAACATCTACAGTAATTATGGCATAAGTGCCAAACACAAGTATTTCATGAACAGCTGTATCACTCTGTAAATTAAACTCTAGACAATGGAAGATACATTGTTTGGACTTAGAGCTTGTTTCATAGAGTTATTACAGCTATGGAATGTCTTAAATCTGACCCTAGATATTTAGTTCTAGAATATTTAGGGCTACCAGAATAACCACGGTGATGTCTAGTGTGTAATTAAGCATGATACTTAGATTGTAATTGAAATTGGTATCTAAGTAAAGTGCGTGGGTTAAATATGTTACACTATGTTTTATTACATTAAGTAATGACTATGGTGATGGAATTATAAAAGAATAAAGACATAAATATCCATCTTTTAAAATTAAGATCATTATGTCTTTTATATAAATTCATAAAAATTCAGCTTTTCTTAAACCAAGGAGTTCAGGACTAAGGCTGATGCAACCCCTGAAAAGAGAAATGCAGATGGCTTTGCGTGATAAATGTTAGGGAGCCACTGACCACCCTTATACTTCACCTACTATGCAAGGCTGGGGTGGCAGACCCTAAAAATAATTTATCTTGTCCTCTGACTTTAATTATTTATAAACCTTGTTGATTTTTCCTTGTAATATATTGTGAGTTGAGGACTTCCTTCTCGCATTCGCTGCCAGTTAGTCCAGCATTTATCCTCTCAAACACACGACAGTAGTGCTAGCCTCGAAATTATAATGACTGTGCTTCATACTTTCCCATGCCATGGCCTGCCCTGCAAGACCTTCCAGATTGGATTTTTGTTCATGTCTCCAACCTCATCATCCTAGCTAGAATTTATTTTAAATGTATGTTCCATCCTGGGGTGGAATGGATTATACATACTATTTCACTTAATCCTTAAACAGATCTTAAGACAAATATTAGTATGATCATTATTTATAGATGAAAAATCTTCAAGAGGCAATGTAACTCAATCCCATAAGGCCAGATCTAGAATCAAAACCAAGCATACCTTACCTTGGAGGATATCATTGCTTCCCTCTTTCCACTTGCACCTTTCCCCCTCACTTAGTGAACCATCCTGCCGACCAATCAACTATACTCTATTGGTCCTAAAACAGATGATGTATATTTCGATCTTTATATATTTTCTCATCCTGTTATCAGTCGTTCTCAAATTTAAATAGTCATTAAAATCACATTAAAGGATTGTTAAATCAGATTGCAATTCTCCACATGAAAAGAGTCTGATTCAGTGGATCTGAGAATCCATCCCAGAATTTGCTTTCCCAACAAATTTCCAGCTGATGTGGATGTTAATAACCTGGAGATCACATTTTGAAAGCTATTTATTTATTTACTTATCTCAACTATACATCCTTAAAAATGGTACAACTTGCTTGGCTTTCATTGTATATTGTTAGCAGCACAACCTTCAGTAGCCACCTTTGTCTCTAATTTCATCTTTCCTTTACCATTTTGAGAAAGCATCTGCCCCTTTTGTTTATTTCCATATTTATCTTTTCAAAACTTTATTTTTCTTTATCTAATTATCTGTCTTCCTATTTCATATCCACATATGGCTTGTTTACTCTTGGTATCACATATTATCTTCAAATTTCTAAATTTCTGTGGTCAAATATTTTCACATATGTATATGTTGCATATTGAGATATTTGATCATATACATATATAGTCTATATATAGAGATTATAAACAGAGTTTTGAGAAAATGTTCCCACTTTTCTTTTAAATCACTTGTTTTTTTCAACTTTATTATGCAGAATGTCTTTTTTTACACACAAATTTTCTGCTTGTTGTTCTATTTGGAGTTGCATTGAAACATTTTTCCTTGCTGATTTGTTACAGGTAGGAAGTGTTGTACAGTTCCATTGCAAAAAAGGTCACCTGCTACAAGGGTCTACAACCCGTACTTGCCTCCCTGACCTTACATGGAGTGGAATTCAGCCAGAATGCATACGTAAGTATAGTGAGTGTAGTGAAGAAATGTATATATGGTTTCTTAATGATACTCATCAGGAGTAAGAACCAACATGTATTATTTCTTCCGTGAGGGAAAACATATATCTACACAACAGATATACAAACATGGTTTCTAGATTATTATAAAATATTTCATGTAATTGTATTACTACATCCAAACCCCATGCCCATTTAGAAGTACCTAGTCTTTCTGAAGAAATCAGAAGGTATGAGGGACAAGTTGGTCTTTTTGTAAAGCCCCGATAAAGGTGCTTAGTTTGGCCACTTGGTAATTTTAGGTGATGATTAGTTTTGAGTTTCATAGATCTGTGCCTTTCCATCTGAAATATTCTGAGAAGGCTCCAACCTAGTGACTCTTAAATTTGTAAAATATGTGAAAAGATTCTCTGAGAATCTGAGGTAAAATTAGGAGGGAATCTATTTTTAAAAAGATATTCATGGATATCTTGAAAAATCTGAAACCTATGTCAGTATTTCCTGCAGCCTCTAAATGGTCATTGGTCTCAAGAGATTAAATAGTAAAGTCCAAGATCATTAAGTGGTGTCTCCTGATACATGATTAGAGATAAATTTCACTTGGCCAATTACTTGTCTCTAATTTCCGTCCAGTTCCTTTAAATGTCTTCCCCATATTTTTAAATTATGAGTCTCTTGTGGTAGAAAGAAGCGTATGCTACAACTGAAACACTCCTCAGGAAGGTATCTCGCTTTCAGGGTTTGCTTCAGCCTCTGTCTGTGTTCGGACAACCCAAATGATCATGGGTGCTCTTATGGGCTGGCAGCTTACTCAGCACAACAGAACTTTTCACATAGACATCCTGCCACCTCCCTGGTTGGCTTTCATTTAATTATGCCAAAATTCCTTAATAAAGAATCCCTGGGAATATGTATTTTAGAACAGTTTTGTGGGCTGCAACTAGGATACTCCTTAGTAAATCAAGCTTCTAGGATGAATGAAATAAAATTTAATAACTTCGGTTACTGCTGGGCATCTCATAATTTCTAACATGTGCATAACGTGAGCTTTCAGAGTGCAGTGGAGACAGGCTCTGAGTTTATTCTTGTTGATATTTACTCCCTGAGGATTAAACTAACTGAATGATGAGCTGATTTCACCAACTGAATTATATTAAATATAAACACTTTAGAATGATGTTTAGCAAATGGCATGAGCTATTATTCATGGCTGTATGAACCTCCACTGGAATACGTGAAAAATAATGTTTTTCCAAATAAATTTGCCCACAATTTTTTTCAGAGCCCACCTTTAATGATGCATGTCTGTGAAAAACATTTGAAAATTCTTTTAGTTTAGAAAGAAAATTCCTTGCAACATCTATTGCTGATTGAAAAAAGAATAGTCTTTATAAGAAAAACAATGGAAAACTAGGGGCCATATGTAGTGGAAAGAAACAAGGGTGGCAATTCAGAGTAGAAGGAAAAATGGAGAAAGAAGAGAGAAATTTAGATGAATGGAAGGATGCTTCTAACACAGGGACTCAGATATGAATATTCCACATGTAAAAACATCATATGTACTCCCTACACAGGGAAGTATTAATATCAGAGCATTGTGATAACCTGTATTTGCAGTTAACCTTAGAAAATGTTTCTATAATTAAAATAAAAATAATAAGAATTTAAAATATTAATTTTAACTGTTATAGAAACCCTGAACTTAACAAATGTAAAAGGCATGTGACTGCAGGACATTTAGATCCTTTTAAATTCTATTTTTCATCACTAGTCTCTAAAATTATAATATAATGCATCTTTTTAGCTTGATTAGTCAAAGTAAGTCCTTTTTTCTCCTTTTATCTGCTAATACCTACCGGTGTTTCAGAGACGGTTGTTGCTAGAGAATGAAATCAAAAGGTATATTCACATTGAAACACTTTCCTTGGTTCATTGAAATAATTATTCAAAGGCATATTTAAATAATGGCATTGAAATATGTGTAAAAGCATATTGTGTATGTAGAAAATTTAGCATTATTCTCCTTTCTTAATATAGCCCACAGCTGTAAACAGCCAGAAGCTCCTGCTCATGCGAATGTGGTGGGAATGGACCTCCCATCTCATGGGTACACCCTCATTTACACCTGCCAGCCCGGCTTCTTCTTAGCGGGTGGGACAGAACACAGAGTGTGTAGATCTGATAACACTTGGACGGGAAAAGTTCCTGTTTGTGAAGGTCAGTTTTCCCGAGTGAATCTTTCTACACAAATGAGTGAATTATCTAGGCATTCCTGGGATACAAGTGCTGAAAACTGAATTGAAATTAACTTAATATAAGGGAAATTTGTCGGCCAGTCCTAAGGTTGGAAGTTACGTACATATTTCTGCATCAAAAATATCATTCATGTCACTGTATAGCATCTTTTCTGTGCTCACTTTTCTTATCTTTAATAAATCTTCGAGTTTTGACTTCCAGATAAGTGTATAGACAAGTTCCAAGAACTGAGTGACTTTAACACAACAGAATTTTGCTCTTTCATAAGATAGATGGAGTTCAGAATAAAGGTGTCAGTCAGATCTTGTGCCCTCTATGAGCATGGGGGAAGTCTTTCCTTGCCTCTTTCTAGCTCCTGGCAATCTTTGGTTCACATCTTTACTCTAGTTTCTCCTCCAGTGTCACCTGGACCTGCTTTCCTATGTATTGCACTGTCCTTGTAAGGAAATTGGAGATTCTATTTAGGTTGTACGCTATATTCAGGATTATTTCACCTGGAAATCTATAATTAATTATATCCACAAAGATCTGTTTCCTGCTAAGGTCATTGTCTGATGTTGCATGTGGACATGAATTTGGAGAGTATATTTGCAGGAAATAAACGCTAGGAAAAATTGGTACAAGTATCTCTGTGTTCATTGCCTCTGTGACTTTCCATAGTCGTCTTTGCCAAAGCTTGTCAGGAAAGCACTATTCAGAACTCTAATTGTTGCCGCTTAGACAGCAGTCCATACCCAAGTCCATTACTCAGCCACAGTGATATTTAACTAGATCTAGACGAAGCGCTCCCTACGCCTCCTTGGTCAGGGAAATCCCCACTTGGGTAAACTCTAGTATGAGTTTAATGGAGGGGAAAGTATCATGTTGCCAAAAGAACCAGCAATGGAAATTTTCCAGAATGGTATAGCAGGTCATCAATAAACTTCTTTTCCTTATATCTATCAAAAAATTTAAGGCTATCTAATATTTAATCTCTTACAACATGCATAAATGAAAATCACTTTCTCCTTTTGAAAATATTTTTATGTCATCCCTCAGTCAGACATTTTGTGTTTTTTTCCTTTCTTTCTTTCTTTCGTAAAATTTTCCTCCTGGAGTAAATGAGAAAATCTTACTGTTTTAATTTGTTTGCTTGTCATCATCTGTTTCCACTTTCTTATCCTCCCCTCAGCCCCTCCCTAACTAGAATATGATATCAATCGTAACAGACTTTGTTCGAGCTGTTTACAACTGGTGTTAATTTTAACATTGATATCAGTGCTTTATATGAGAAAATTCTCAGTAAATATTTAATGAATGAATAAATGTTTTATGGTCTCCTAATTCTGGTTATGCATTCTCCACTTTCTTCATGAACTTATTCTTTCTGTTCTTTCTAAAAGCTTTACACCCTTTCTAAAATCTTAGTCCTTAACCATATCTTCCTTTTCTCCTATATTTTCACCTAGGTTATTTCATTCAAGCCAGTGGGTTCAATCATCTCTGCAATGAAAATTACATAAAAATTAGTATTTCTAGCTCATTTACCTATTTTTAGCCTGAGACTTACATATTCAGCTGCTTACTGGATATCTCCATTAGAATTCTTCAAAGACATTTCACTACTCAACAGATGTAGAATTGAATCTCTAATCTTCATTAAGTATTCCCTATTTCAGTGACATGGCCATGGAATGGTTTGACACACAAGAAATCTAATGATCATTCTAAAAATTATCCTATCTAAATCCACCAAAATTTCAATAGCTTTCTCATCATTTTTCTGTTTCATCACTATGACTATGGTAATATAACTATGCATTACCTCTGTTGGAACTACTGAACAGTCTTTTAAGTGAACTTGACCATATCGGTTTTTGTTCTTTTCCAATTATATTTCATTTTGCAACCAAAATGATAGTGTCACCCATATCACCTGCTTCAAGTCCTTTGACAGGATCACTCCTCCCTCCACATCCTTCTGAAGCCATTGCCATAGACTTTGGGTACGCGCTGTACGAAACAATATGTGTCATAAGCACCTACAACTTTCCATTCCCCCTCCACATCCCACATGGGTTTATGGTCTGAGTTGCCATTGGTTTAGCATAAAGATTACACCTTTGAGTCTATCCAATTTCGGGTACACTAAGAGTTTATTTTAACAAACTTTTATTCTTAAATGTGAACCCTACTAATGAGTAGTTCTTGCCTTTTCTCAGCAAAAACATATGGTCACTCTGCAGCTTTCCTGTTGGAAGCAGCTGTTTCCATTTAATGTATGTCTCCCAGCTGAGAAGCAGCATCCCAAGATGAAAAGCCTGGAATAATTTGTTTCTTGTCCCACTGGACTATGATAAGAGTAATCATGGAAGATTTTAGCTATACAGTAAGAGTATTGAGAAAGAGATTGAAATGTTGTAAATAGGACATTTTGAAGAAAAATGTTATAATCTCAAAGAATAAAATTGATAGCTTATTGTATTCTGTATGTTTGTATGTATGTGTGTTATTAATTCTATCAACTTTAGTAAACACTCATTTCTTTCCATAGCTGGTTCCAAAATATTGGTGAAAGATCCTAGACCTGCACTAGGGACACCCAGTCCAAAGCTAAGTGGTCAGTAACTTATTTTGCTTTTCTACAAGTCATGATTTTTAAAATTGATCACCTATATTCTTGAGCATTTACTTGGAAGAATGCATTTTAGTGTGGAAAACCTATGCATTCAACTGTATTGAATTTGATAATTTATGTTGTAAGATTTTGAATTTAAAACAATGTTATACTGTGGTATGTTAATATTCCAAATATTATTATCTATAGTTCTCTGATGAAAAATTATATTTACAATTATGTTCTCTTTGTTCATTAAAAGAAAGTTTTGTCCTTTTGTTTGTTTGTTTCTTCTTTGGAGGAGTGAGTCATTTTATCTGTGAGTTCCAGTGTGAATAATTTTGGCCATTCTTTCAAGATTATGGCACAGTATATTAACTATTGTTATTCTATAATTATTTTGCTATGAAATTTTGTTTTATTTTTCAACGAAGTAAAGAGAGTCCTTTTAGTATTTTCTTTATTAATATCTATGCATTAAAATTAAAAATATTATTTACAGATTTCTCTCCAATTTTTCCCTTGAGAAGTATTTGTAATGATCACAATATAATGGCAATATTAGTTTCAAATTTTAAAATAAAAATGTCATCTAAAAGTGTAAGTAAATAAATTTTTGAAAGAATCAGATACACTTGGTAGGAGAATAGGAGATCAGCAAGTTCTAATATTTCTAATTATTTGATTTGAAAAGCAAATTTAAATATCAACCCTAGTCCTTAAAAGCCTGGGCTTTAAAGTCTGACAAGCTTGGTACAATTCCTGTCTTATATAATCCTATCTCTGACTTTGGAACATTGTTTTAAATATCTGAGCTTCCATTTCTTTACCTATAAGAAGAAATAATTATTAGAAATAATGATAATCAGAAACAGTAATCTAGAAAATTTATATTAGGTAATTATATTGGATTTAGGTAATTATTAGATAATTATAGTAGATATTATAATATTACAAATGAGAACTATACAATGAGTGTTAACAGAATGAATTATAGCCGGGGATTTAGCTCAGTGGTTCCGGCGCCTGCCTTGCAAGCGCAAGGTCCCAAGTTCAATCCCCGGTACCAAAAAAAAAAAAAAAAAGAATGAATTACAGTGGTACCAATAAGGTACCTAACATTTAGCCTAAGCACTGAATTTCATTCGGTTCTCATCCAGTTTGGTTTGCAACCAGAATCCTGGAAAGAATTAAGTTCACAAACAGAGGTACCACTGTACCCAGTGCTTAGCTCATAGTAAGTGCTCAATATATGTATGCTGTTTTATAATATTAGGACTATGTTTATATGATATGAATTGAAGACCAGAAATAAAACTAAGGACATAGCATCAGATCTTTACCTTGGAGACAGAGGTGGCCCTCTTGTATTGGGTTGAGAACAGTGCTAGGATCTGATTTTAGTTGGGTTCAGGAATTCTTCCAGTTTATGGGGTAAAACTGGAAAGCCCACAAACTTCTGAAACTTAAGTTATTCAATATTCAGTGGAAGCATACTGAATACCATTCAGGCAATAAAGGAGTTTATAAATGTCAGTTACAGCTAGCACTGGTCTAAAAGTTATAACAGCTTCTCAGTGGCAAAGGGCCTGCCCCTCAAGTGCAAGGTCCTGAGTTTGATCCCTGGTACCAAAATAACCCAAAACAAACAAACAAAAAAACAACTATAACAGCTAATGGCCAAAATTTTCAAGAAAGATGGTTTATTTGGGGAAAGATGAAATCTGAATGACAGGTCCAGCACGTCATGTATACCTGGACTGTTCTGGGCAAAACATGTCCAATGGCCACCCAACAGATACCTGGCAGAAAAACATTGTAAAAAGTAACCAACATATTCATAAATTTTACACAATATGCATATATAAAGATTGCTGCCTCTATTATAAAATTATGTTTTCCTCAAAGTCACATCAGACAGGTATAACAATTAGTTATATATTAAATAATAAACAAATCTAAACAAATTTCAAAGCAAAGTTAGTCTTTAGATCTGATATTTGACTGCAATTAAAGGTCAATGAGAAAATAAATAAAATTACAATGTGTTTGGAAATTCAAAGCAAAATCAATACTAATTCAACCCGTAAGTTGAAGAAGATAATGCACTGGGAAATATACTACTAAAATTTACTTATTTTGAAAAAAATCTCAAGATCAAAATATAAGGACTATAGCAAAAGCAGTTATTAGTAAATTTTCTATTATTTTTATTATAATTATTAGCACATTAATTGACAAAAATAATGCTTTATAACATTTTCATATACCCATATAATGAACTCTGATTTTATCTACTTTCATAAGCAGTGAAACATATCCTTAAGTGCTTACATTAGAAAAGAAGAAAGCCTCAAAATTAATAAATGCTTTCATTAACAACATATACAGATTATAACATAACTAGAAATCAATGTGTTAATCAATATATTAATACAACATGAAACATGTTCCAAACATGAAAACCCAATGGAAGAATTTAAGAGAACCAAAGATGATTATATGATAAAATGAACAAAGTAGAAAAAGTTTTGGCAAAATCATGCAAAACAAATGAAATGTGAGCATAAACGCATGTAAGACTAAATAAATTATAAATATATCAAAACAATAACAATAGCAATCTGTATTTTTCAAAAGTTATAGTTTTAAAATTATGAGAAAAGTATATCTTAATGGAACTAATAAAAAAGCTTTAATAACCCCTTAAGGATGGAATGGCTAAAATTATTTCAAGGAAAAATCACCAGACTCTTAATTTCTAATGAGCTCTACCAAATTTTAATGGAAGAGGACAGATCATCCAAGTTACATAGCAACTCCTTCAGATAATAAAATTTACTGCGTGGACCCCACATAATAATAACTCAGAGAAAGACATTATGAAAGCAGAAAATTTTATGTCCATTTGAAAAAATCCTATGTAAGTTCTTCCCAAATAACTACTACAACACTGTGGTAAGGATAACACATCAGAATCAAACTGGATCTATTATTGACATGAAAGGACATTTTAATAATAAGTAATCCTTAAAAGTAATATATCATATTAAGGTGGTAGAGTGAAAATTATAATCATTGAAGTACTTGCAAAGAAAATGTATGATAGAATTCAACACCAATTTATAATTTTTAAGTTTCTTGATGTATCAGAAAGGATTTCTTTCACCTGAGAGTATCTAATAAAAGTAGAGCAACTATCATCTTTAAAAAGAGGAAACACTAAGAAGCATTCCATTTAAAATCTTGAATGAGACAAAATGATTAGAGGAAAGTTACAAGATTAAAAGTTGGCTATTTCACCAAAGTCAGGAGCATGATTTTGTATTTGACAGTGCTGTGAAGCTACTGACACAAGGTATAAGTTCAAACATGTTTTGAGAGAAAGGATCCCGACCACCACTGTCTTCCCAACTAGATCCCGGACCTTCCAACTGTAGGACAGTTCAGTTTGTACACACCTTCCTTTCGCCTGACATACTTTGTTGGCCAAAAGCAGTGTAAAATGCGTACCCAGTCTGGAGACTTTGTTCATACACAGAGTCAGACTTTAACATAAAGCTCCTCTATGGGTACAGAGCAGAGAGGAGTAATATGGGGTGAGGTAGAAGAGTGCCACTAGCAGAATGAATTGGCAAAGGTTACAGAGCCAGGGCTACAGGTTGTTCATGATAATAACTGCATGGCTGCTAAACATATGCTTTACTGAGCTGTCATTTTGTGAGCTAGAAGAGCCACAATTTCCCTGTTTTATCCGCATAATAATACTGGTAATGAGAAGAGCTCAGCATTAACTAAACAGCAAACTTTATCTTATTTAAGCTCTCTAAAACCTCTGTGATAATCCCATGCTAATCACGTAGAAGTTCAGGTTTTGAAAATTAAGTAATTTATGCAAAATGACATATTTATAAAATGTAGAAGAGGGAGTTAAATATAAGCAGCATCTCTCCGGTGCTAACTTTTCTGCTGTATTCTAGCACAGCTCATCTCTCTCCCTTGTGAACTGGGCAGTTCCAGCGACAATGCTTTTATTTCTAAAAATACCTGTAAACCTCAAAGTTGTCAATTGGAGCAACCCTGTCCTTTTTCAGGAGCGCTAGTACTAGAATAACTGAGTCCATAATTTTGTAAGGAGTGTTTTCTCCCAACAGTCTTCTGGGCCTATACTCCAAAGGGAAGGATTTAATTCTGTGCTCTTCATCTATGAATCTGTCCCCATGTTAGAAGGACAGGTTCCTTGGGACTCATGTGTAGAGTCACTTGGCTCAGTAAAGTCATGTTATTTTCCTTTTGAAAGAAAAATAATATTATAGGGGACCAAGTATAAATTAAATTTATATTTACCTGAGTTCTGAATACAAGGCTCATGCCATTTATTGATGACATATGAACAAGTCTAGGTTCTTACTCATAATTTTGATTTATTCTAAAAACATTTAACATGAAGAATTTAGTTTACACATGTCACATGATTGTGTATTTAGTAAAATATCATTGTCCAATAAACTAATATTCTTTAATCTACTATTTAACGCTTATATTCATAGGACACTGGAAAATTAAAATGTGTGGTTTCTTTCATCTCTTCACAGTCCCGGATGATGTGTTTGCCCAGAATTATATATGGAAAGGCTCTTACAATTTCAAGGGAAGGAAACAGCCCATGACATTGACGGTGACTAGTTTCAATGCCTCCAGTGGGAGAGTCAACGCAACACTGAGCAACAGCAACATGGAGCTGCTCCTTTCAGGTATTGCATTAAAAAAGCAGCAACAGGCTGGGGATTTAGCTCAGTGGTTTTGCCGCCTGCTGCGCAAGCACCAAGGACCCAAGTTTGGTCCCCGGTACCAAAAAAAAAAAAAAAAAAGCAACAAAAATCTTGTAGCCTAAATGCTTTCATTTTTATAATAATTTTATTATTTTCATCCTGCAAAATATTTCTTGTTTGTGTTTAATGACTGTCATAATTCACTCAAAATGAGACTTTCTGGTCTCTGAAGTGTCTTTACAAAGTCTGATTAAAAATATGGTGAATGCTGCTCCTGAGTGCAGTGCCATCCAAAGAAAAGGCTCATAAAAACATTGAGCTATGTGGATGTGTCATCTCCTCTACCTCATCACTGGGTCTGCACAGGCGACTTCGGGCTCTTCTCTAAAGTCACACTGACCATGAAAGGTAAATGTTTTTAAACAATTCAGGACATCCAGCCAGCCACAATGCAATTGAAGACATTCATGAAAGAGGACTTCCAGAACTGCTTCAGAAAATGGCAAGAACAATGGATAAATGTGTTCAAAGCAAGAACACACTTTGGAAAGGGATTAATGGCAATGTTTTTTATTGGACTAAATTTTTTAAAACATTCACCATATTTTTCCTGGGTCTGTATTTTTCTATATTTATTAATAATGTAATAATTTCTGGTATCAAGAAATGAAAGATTATAATTATTGATATAGATTTTAGAAGAAATACTGAGTCTCAATTTATATTACTGAACGAACTTGCATTAAGCCTACTGAGATAAAAGTATTACAGTTTCATATATATAACTTTTAAAAAATATACACAGTTAAATGAAATATATTGAAAGTAGACATGCGCATGAAAGAAAAGCATTTATGTTGTTATTAATAATTTACTTGGCATTAAAATTGAAATGAGCTTTTCTTTATTTTATGTAAAAATTAGCCAAATATATATATATATATATATAATGTAATGAAGAAAAATTTCAGAATATATCCCTGCAAATATGGAAAACCAAATATGAAAAAAGTCAAATTAATTAGATTTTGCTTAGTGTCTCCATATCCAACAATTTCCCAGTGATACTATTTTTTAATATTTTTATGTCCTTTTATTATTCATGGTAAATTACTTTACATCATTTTCTTAGTCTTCCCAACGTATTCTTCTGATGCCTTATTTGTAGGTTAACAATAGGTGAATCAATGAAGACTGGAATGAAAATCTAAGCAACAGTTGTAAAATTTTTATTTTGACACTTGTTTCCTACTATTCCCCTCAACACGTTTATGCTGTTTATTCCTACTCATAGAATGTTCATTATTTTTTAAAAACACATAGTATATATTTTTGTTTCTATCACTTGTGCTATTACTTTTATTTACCTTCTTGGAGTCAGATCCTACTTGATTTTCATGACCTAGCTCAAGCATCCTTTTTTGTAATAAATATTTTTCAGTGGCTCCAGTGTTCCATGATCCCTCTGTCTTTGGCCATTTATTTATCATATTCTCTCATGGGTTTACTTAGTTGTGTACCTTATATCTAACTCTTCAGAAATAGAAACACACCCTGAAGATAAGCTCAGTAGCAGAGTGCCTGCCTAGCATCCACAGGACCCTAGGTTCTACCCCCAGCACGGAAGAGACCGGGAGAGAAGGGAGGGGACCCCCCACACCCAGAACGCTCCCACACAGTTAGCTCTTAATTCATTATCAAGGAGAATGTGAGGAATTTGAACTTCTGGTCTATATCCTTAAATTCTCAAATCTGGGTGAAGAAATTACTTGGCCTGCAGTGTCATGGAGTGATGCTACTATACATAGTAGTACTTAATTTTATAATATACATGATTAAAATTTTATAATATGCATGAGATTTAAATCGAGACTTTAACTGGAAGAGAATTCAATGTGTACTGTAGAATTTAGGAAAGAGTTTTGGATGAAGTCACCTTAGACATGGGCCTTGTTGTATTTCTTCTCCTATTACACATCTAATGTGATATATTTAAGGAATTATAGGTAATCAAATGAAGAATAACTGTTTACAAAATTAGACTAAAATGTCCTTGCATTTTACAGGGGTCTATAAAAGCCAGGAGGCTCGCCTAATGCTACACATATATTATATTAAAGTACCAGCTCATACTTCTATGAAGAGAATGAAGGAGGAAAATTGGGCCATGGATGGCTTTGTAAGTATAAATATCTAGAAATATGCGGCTGAGTTTCATGACAGATTTGTAATTTTTCCAAAAAAGGGAAAATTTTATAAAATTAGCTGATTATAAACTATATATAAACATATTAGTATATATAAATATTCGCAAATATCAACACTAGGAACATTGGACTCTGATATGATTTGCTTAACTTTGTAGTGTGTGTGTATCTGTGGGTTTGTGTGTGTTTATATGCAGGACTATATAGTGTCTGTCATTGATTTCATCAAATATATTCTGTCCACAGTAAGCACCCCATAAAATATGGATAAAATATCAATCAGTTTTGTCTGGAACTGTTTGTAAGACATATGCAGCATACTTACAAAATGCATCAGAAAATTAAGCATGCTTATTAAATTGAAGTTCAAAGTTAAAATAGTTTATTACATTGTCTATAAGAATGAATTTATGTAAACTGCTTCCTGAGGGGACAACTGTTACACTAACATATTGGATGTGCATCTTTGCTGCAGGATAAGCATGAGCCATCACACTGTTCTCTCAGGTACCAACCCGGCCTGCTTTTAAAAGGAACACTTAATGAGTGAGAAGACGGTTATGGGACTTAGTAAATTCATTAGGAAAAAGTTGTTTATATCAGTTTTGTATTGTGTGCCACTATTTAGGTAGTTGGAAAGTAAAGTATTCAATACACTTAGAAGATCTAACTGTATTATTTTATAAAAAACCCAAATGCAATGAATTTCAATATTAAATAATTAAATATTAGTTTGAGCTACTTTCTTTATAAGTATTTCTTTTTAAAAAATGAATGTACACCCTAATAAGGAATAAGTCACTTGTGAAAAGTCAGACTTCATTAGTGGTTTGGCATGCTTTGATTTTTTTGGGTGAGGATTCAGTTTCTTACAGTTTTGAGTATACAATCATGGTTTAGGTAACTCATAGCCATCAATTAGTACAAATGTCAGGATAAATTTACATTGGCAGCTGGTTATCAGGAACACTAAACTGTATCAATTCCTATTTTATGTATATGACTAAATGGCATTATCAACGTGAAGTTTGTTAAAATATAGGATTGTATACATGCAAGACACATGTAGTAGTCAGCATCAGACACAGCTTAAACGTTTGTCACAAGGTCAAACAACAGTAAGTATTTCTTTCTTTCTCATGTCCCTGGCGTTAGTGGAAGGAGTGCTACTTGAGGCTACCATATCAAGTTCGCCTCAGTCTGGGGCTCAGGCTGGAGGGGCAGCAATCACTTGAAATATGTTCTTCTCTTAAGAGAAACCAGGAGCTCTCAGAGGGACAGTGGGTTCTGAAATATGTTACTTAGACTACCTTGACATGTGCCCCTTTTTGTTTTAAAGCAGCTCAGTTTAGCTATAATGCACATATCCTATAATTCATCCATCTAACACATACAACTCAGTGGTTGTAACAATATACACAGATATGTGTAACCAACAAAGCTGATTTTAGGGTAATTTCATCACCTCACAAAAAAATTCCAGGACAGGGGTATACTTCAGTTTTAGAGCATTGGCTTAGCACGTTTGAGGCCCTGGGTTCAATTCTCAGAGTACAACAGAGAAAGATAGGAAACAGGATGGAGTGCAGGAGAGAGAACAAACAGGAAGGGAAGATCCACTTCACAGCCTTTAGCGGTCACCTCTGCCCCAACCCTATCTCCACCCTAGGCCTAAGCAACCACGAATCCATTTCCTACCTATGTAAATGGTCTCACCCTGGCGTCCATGTTTGTAGAATCATGTAGTCTGTGGTCTTTTGTGGCCAGCTTTGTCCACTGAGCATAAAGAGAAATGGGCCTCTTAAAAGCCTATTGTCAGGTGACCTGTTGTGAACGCTACTCATATTCTAATGGCCTACGGAGTCACGGACAGGGTAGGAAGTGCAGCAACCCTTCCCACGAAGGTTGGAGGCCAATGGGCAGACAGAATGCAGGCACTGAGAACAGTATCCTCATCTACAAAGAACAGTATTATCCCATTTCAATTCTAAATTGAGCATCAGCCACACAGTTTCATCATGTTATTGACATTTTTGAACAATAGGTTCCTTAGAGCGTAAGAGATTTATATATCTTTGTCAATACATTAATGGCTCATGTTTTCCCATATCATAATTATTTAAAATTGGAAGATTTACCTTTGCTTTCATGATGTAAAATTTGACAGTGTGCTGTTTTGTTTAGGAGAAGGATAGAGATGAAGGGAATATTGGATAATATTTATTTCACAATCAAATTGCATAACTTTTAAGGCTAGGAAAAAGTAGCTGTGACCAGTCTTCACATTTAATCAACTTTTCAAATATTGTTAGGTGTCTGCTGAACCTGATGGAGCTACTTATGTATTTCAAGGATTTATTCAAGGCAAAGATTATGGTCAATTTGGACTACAAAGACTGGGTAATGTGTTCATTTTGATTTTCATGTAGTTCTTTTATTATTCCAGACATCATAAGGAAACACAATAAATTCTGTACATTAGGCACATTTAGTACATTTTGAATTTTGCAGTCACGACTATACATTGATACACTCAATGATGGCAGTTTTTAAAAATAATAGTATTTTTCAGAATATTGGCTCTTTATTTAATAACACTGTTCCATTTTATTTTTCATCATATTTAAAAAAATATGACAAACTATCTTGCCCTTAAACAAGTAAATAGAAGACAAAGTGATATGGATAAAAAAGAAAATATTGAAATATAAATTATTTACTCTGTTCTCAAGAAAACTATACAACTTCTTTTCAGTTTGAATACTACTGCAATTTTCTTAGTCTTCTGAAAAAGTGCCACTTTATGAAACACCTTAGGTATAGAAAGGAAAAATACTTAGAACAATGGGTCCAATTCAGGGACTTGGTGTTCTTTAAATATGTAAATTTTCTTCAGTGAGAAAATCAAGTTTTTGTCATTTTGTTTCCAGCTCTTCTAACAGTACATAAAAGCCTCCTTAGGGCATTGTTAGCGTATATCTTCTTAAAGCATATATAGGGAATATCTTCTTACGGTATATCCATAAACATATCCCCTGGCCATAATTTTCCTAAGGAATGCTTTCTCCCAACATTTCGCCATAACAAAACTGATAAATGAAGAATAAATTTAGGCTCTAACAGCTATTATTTGACATCTATCTTTTAAAAAAGCATTGCTTTGAATATATATGCTTTATATATGCTTTGAACAAATATACTGAGTTACTGGAAAAATAAAGTATAGAAAAATGTACTATTTAAGTTGTCTTTTAGTTAACTATAACTTTTATCAGAATGGGAATTTGGCTTTCTCTAAATGAATATTAATGTTATTTTCACATAAGGCCTTGCCTAAATTTATGTTAGTTTTTAAAAATAGGATCAAACATATATTAATATGATATATTAATACAATTGTGTCATTTGAATGCAAGATTTTGTATATTTCCTAAAGTGTCTCAAACACTACTTGTGTTCTTTCTGAGAAAGAACTACTAGATATTTCCCTTTCCCCTGGCTCTGTGCCAATATATTGACACACCTAGCTTTTCTCACTTCTTAACTCAACTGGCAGCATCACCAATCAACTAGACCTTCATACCTCTTTCATCCATGCAAACAAGTTCTACTGCATTTAACTATGAAGTGTTCCCCAAATCTAACTTTTCGTGCTCATTCTAATATTCCAGTACAACTTTCACTTTCCATTTTCTTGAAGTTGTCATAGCTGCTTCTAGTCTGTCCTTCCTCACACCCATCCTGCCATTGTGAGTCTTCTAAATCTCATTGTATTCCTGGGTATTTAATTTCTAAATACCTGCAGTTGTCACTTACTGAAGTAGGTAGTAAGTTTGAGCTCTTTACAGTATCTGTTCCCTTTCGGAATTTAGCTATCACTGACTCTGTTACTTTTCTTCACTTACTGCAAGTCAGTGCTTGTAGCTTTTCCTAAATATATGGCTCATCTTCTCATTTCTAGGCTTGTGATGTGGCTGTTTCCTTCTGTATTTCTATTGATTCTGAAAGGCCAAGCTTATACTGTATATCCTCCAGCAAACATCCTTTTAAATGCCAGATGGACTTACTTTTTCCCTTTCTAAAGCACGTTGACCACTGATTCACACTTGGTGCACACATTTAGTTGTTTCTGTAAGTGCTCCCAGTATGGCCTAAGCACCTCCATTCAGGGACTGTGCTTATATTTTAGACTGTATTTTTCCCTGGACAAATGTCTCATACATAGTACAAAAAAGTGTGGAAATGTGTTAGTATTTCATGAAATATTTTTTGTTAACTGTATATTTCCACATGGATATCCCTGAAAATGGTAGAAATTTGTTGGTTGGTAAACATAGCTGTCAATTATGATAAAATAGAGTTGATTTTGTATTTATAATTTATTTTTCATTTTGTAGGACTGAATATGTCAGAAGGTTCAAATTCTTCGAATCAACCTCATGGTACAAATAGTAGTTCTGTGGCCATTGCTATTCTTGTGCCTTTTTTTGCACTAATATTTGCAGGATTTGGATTTTATCTTTATAAACAAAGGTAAGTTAATTGACTTTTACCTATAAAATGTTCAACAAATCTGCTTTCCATGTTATTTCTACTGCTTTTGTTCAGATCCTAACTTCCATTTCTTCTGTGTCGTTGAAATCTATATGCCAACTATTGCTGCAATTGTTGGAAATCTTATTTCCTCAATCTTTGCCTGCAATATCATTTTCACATTACAAAAATTGCCCTGTTAAATTGCATAAACATTCAAACTAACCCTTCCTCATTTTGCCGGTGAATTTCCTGGCACAGAACTAATTGCACAAGTTATTTTTACATTACTCATAATGAGACTTTAGAGATACAAAATTTAGGTTAAGGTTTAAATTCAAGAGGTGATATCTGCTTCCAGATTTATTTAGAGAACTAGGAAGAAGCTTGTGTGCACACCTTTTAGCTGACATGATAGCAGTGACTCATTTTATCTGGGTGGATATATGGTAAAATCCTTAAATCTTTTCATTCCTCTTCTGTTGCTTTTCAAGATCATGCAATTAATATGTTACATTTGTCATAGATAGAGTATATATCTGTGCGTATTATCAGTACTTCTGCTTTCTTCTCCAGTGTAGCATCTTGGTGAGGGGTGTTAGTGTTCAGTTCACCACCACTTATAACATCTTTTATCAAGAAAAAAATGTAGAGGTAACAATATAATTCAATCAATGTTACCTAAATGGATTTTCTCCCAGACTTATATTTTTATTATATATGTAATACCCATGACTGATTTATTTAATATACATATGAATATATGTACATCAAATATATTTAAAGTTGTGATAATTATGAATTAGCAGATTTTTAGATATGGTCAATATCTTACCATATTTGTAGATAAAGAGTAATCACCATTTATATCAACATTTTTTTCTTTTATTGCAATGAAAAGATTTGTTGTGGCAAGAATTCTTTCTGTAATCTGGACACAAGCCTTTGTTAAGTACAGAGGGTTTGCAAATATTTTCCGATACATGTGGACAAAACCCTTAACAGATTTATGGTTTGCAAATATTTTTCCTTTTCTATGGGTTCTATGTTCACTGTCTTCTTATAGTATCTTTCGATGTACAGAAGCCTTTTGTTTTGATGAAGGCTGAGTTTTTCTTCTCTAAATTGTGTTTTTCATATAATGAAAATCTGAGCAACCATTGCCAAATCCAAGGTCATAAAGATTTACCATAACTCTTCCTAAGACTTTTACACATTTAGCACTTATATTTAGTATTTTTACCATTTTTAAGTAATTTCCATTTCATGACATAAAATTTTTCTTTTTAAAGCTTGATATTATTTTCCTTAAAGCTGTTAGTCATTCTTTCAATCCCCCTGATTCTTTCCCAATTAAAAGATGATGCATCTAATTTTATTGTAAGTTTGGGTGCAAAAGAGAGACAAATATAATCCAGTAGTTATGATGAAGTGCAAGTTGTAAGTTTTCTTCAAGTAAACATGACAGCTTTTTAAAAATAAGTATTGTCATAGAAATCAACTAAAATTTTAAATTATAGAAAAATTCATAAAATTCATGTTTAGTTTCATCTATGGTATTAAGTATAAATGCTTTTAAAATGCATCCTTTTTGGGAATTAGACTTCAGAAATAGGAATCGGTCTGCTTTTGTTTCATGAGAAATGTCAGGAAATTATACAATGAGATGTAGGAAAGAGAAGCTAGAAATATGCCTTTGTCACCCTTGAGGAAAATAAAGAAATGAAGAAAGAATTCCATACCAGCAACCTATAGCAGCCAGTCTAGACTCCAAGCAATTTGTTAATTAAAGGCACGTGGTCAGTTGCCAGTGACTCTTTGGAAACTATTTTAACAACATGCATATCAAGAAAGCAATTTCTTTGACAGTATGAGATTATTTGCCCCAAGGTCTGTTATTTAAAAAATCAAATTGATTATTTGTATTTCTGGAATGCTAGAAGTCCCTCCTCACATTAAGTGTCAGCATTCCTTGTCAGTTCCTGTGGAATTTCCTTTTCTTTAAGAGTGCAAATCTGGCTCCTTCTTGCCCTCTGATCTCAGATTAAATGTTACTTCCCCAGGATGCTTTCCTTTATTACACCCAATAAAGTGGCTCCCAGGAGTATCTTATATTGAGCATTTTCCTGTGTCTTATCACAATCCCCATTACCTAGTCTATATGCATTTCTTTTTTTACTAGTACGTGTTTGCAGCACATGCAATTTACAGTTCTCTTAGGGAGAGGCTACATGTACGTATTACAATTTGTTTCTTTCTGTAAAGGCCTTCCCTTGCCTTCCCACTGCCACCTTCCTCCTTTAATTTCCCTGTCCCCACTTTCACTCTTATTGATGTGAGTAATCTTACCTCATGTTTATGGCAGGCATTGTTCACACTTATGCAGGTTATCAGTTTCCTGTCCATGATGTATCTTTATTCTACTTCTTTCCTCTTCCTCTTTCCCATGTCTCTTGCCCTTGGCCTCTTGGACCACTTCCATTTGCAATAGATCCATCCTCCTGCCTCCTTTTATCCGCTTATAATATCGATGACTTTATTGGCTTTAAAAATATAAACCAAATGCATACAGTGATTCTGGGGGTATAACCGATGCTTAGTAAATGTTTGCTAAGTAAATATGTAAGTGGTAATTGATTCAAATTCTTAATTATCATAATTTGTGTGTATTATATATTTCATAATTATTTATTACATGTATTTTACAGCTTTATTTAATATTGACATTCTTATTGGTACTGCACATAAATATTATTATATAAATAGTAAGTCACTCAGGACTTAAAAGGATAAGTTGTTCAGTTTTGATTCATTGAGTTTATGAATTTTTCAATTACTTTTAATTGACAGTATTCGCTAACAATGGTAACTCAAATGCATTATGTTTGAGTCGTGCTCTGCTGGTCCTTTAACAGTGAAGACATAGCTAATCAGTGTGCTCATTAACAGGACTGCACCCAAAACACAGTACACAGGATGCTCAGTTCACGAAAATAACAATGGCCAGGCGGCTTTTGAGAACCCTATGTACGACACCAACGCCAAGGCGGTGGAAGGCAAGGCAGTGCGGTTCGACCCCAACCTGAACACGGTCTGCACAATGGTATAATGCGGCGATCTACTGCCTTCCTTGGAGTCGCGGAAATCGACACACAACACAGTGCACATTTAGTTCACTGCTAAACAAAGCACACTTTTCAGGACTTGCTGGGTCACCTTTCCCTGAGGAATGAGAGAGAAGAGTGTTTTTTCATAAACTGGATCATAATTCTTCTTCATGTTTACCATGGAGAGCTTTACAGGAATTCGGCTGCACTCTGGGAGTGCTTACTCACAGTTTATTTGCTTTTTTAAAAAGGAGATTATTCTAAAACATAAACTTATTTGCATATATTGGAGGAGCATCCACTATCAGTATTTCTGTGCTTTATAAACTATATTAGAGGGACTGGGTTAAAAAAAGATATAGGGTAGAAAATAAGAGCTATACTTACAAGAGTCAATAGATCATTGACTGCTCTTTAACTGTCACGAGCTACATCTCACTCTAAGTCTGTATTTCACATCACGCTACCTGCTGTTCATGCTTCTCACTCACAGCATTGTTTTCCTTATTTCCAAGGGGATTTATGATTGAGTCTTGCCTTTAAATGATTATGAGCTCATTTAATCAACTGAAGAGTTAAGACTGCCCACCCGGATTTGGCTTTCTCATTCTCGTTCTTCAGTGTCACATTTCTTTTATTCTTTCAGACTGCTCATTATAGTTTGTGCAAAAGCTTAGGTCTTTGAGCTTCCCTCCTGACTTCCCCATTACAGAGTAACCAGTTGTTTGATGCCTTTCTGCAGTGTTTTTTCATCCACAAACCATGTTGGCTGAAAAATATTGTCTAACAAACATGGTATTTTGCAGTTAAGTGAGACACCAAGCTTATTACCATCCTTTGCCAAATTCCCAATGCTTTTAAAAAACCAAATAAAATCTATTAAGTCTATACTATATTTAAGTTATTATATCTCTACATATCTTTCCAGTTGAGCCTTCAAATTTAACACTATTGACAGTTTCCAGCTTTTTCCAGCAATGAATTAGAAATGTATTTTGCCTAGCTCCTTAACACAATGACTAAAAATGAAAAAAGACCTTCTTTAAAATCACCAATACAAATTGATTACCTAAAATTGCAAATTTATCAATTTTCACCTTTTGAAATTTCTATACCCCTTATTCATAAAAAGCAGCTTTCAGATACAAGTTTCTTCGATGACCAAGTTATGTGTTTGTAAATTATTGGTGGCTCATTACAGCTATTTCACACAATAATGCCAGCATTTTCATTTAATAGGTTATGGTGTTTCTTTTTTTTTTTTTTTAGCATTTTTCACTTCATTGAGTAAAAAACGTACCCAGTGTAAACTCTTTGTTGTTGTCCCTTTTGAATATGGATTACTCTGTGAATGGTTCTACTGGTATTTTGTACCATGAGACAGAGTGCCAAGAGAAACCTCTGCACCCGGGGGTGCTGCTTGGATCTATCTCTACATTTAGTGAATTTCTTGTAAACCACTTTGAGATACATTGTTTTGGAAATCCATGCAGTTTTCTCAACATTGTACTCTACTGACAGGATGCGGTTTTAAATCTTATGCCATCAGTTATTTATTCTTGTTTATTCAAATGACTGCAATAACAATGATTCATTCACTAATGTTAAGGTTAATACATTTAAGATCTTGTTTAAACAATGTTTCTTCTGCAACTGGCTACTCCTCTTATATTAATGCATACACTTTTGTAAAGAAGTATATTTTTATGAAAAAAAGACTTTGTAAAAGTATGATGTAAATTTTCAGTGCAATGTAAACGAATAAAAATGGATAATTGCTTTTGTAAAATGTGTATTCTTTTCAAAATTATCTACAGCTGTTCTAGTTAGTAAAATGAATAAATAGCCCATATTTATTTGTTTTTTGTTACCTTCCAAAACTGCATATCATATAAACTTAGCTAGTGACACAGTAATAAAATATGGGTGTTTTTCTCTTTTATATTCCATAGTTCCTCAAATATGACACTCTTTTAAAGGTATTATTACTTTTACTGAGCAAGAGCTCACTGCTGGTGATGTATAGATACCAACATAACAGCACGTGTTTTTTGTAAAATAAAGAGCTTTATTGAGGACTAATAAGGAGACAGATACATGTTCAGATCCATCTCCCTGAGTGTAGTGAAGGAATTTGGGGGCCAGGTAGAGCGAGACATTGCTTATTTCATGGCAACAAGAGGAAGTTTCAGCGTTCTTTTGTGGGGCTGAAGATGGTCACCGTGCATCTTCTAGGTCATGGTTTCCTTTCCCAGGATGAGGTGAGTTATCCTATTCTTCATGAGGCATTTTGAGGGCCTAATGTCAGAAGGTCAGGTAGGTGCCCTTCTTCTGGTCACGATCAACTTGGGATAGCCAGTATGGGGTGGTTTCCAGAAGGTTCTAGTGGTGTTCCCTACAAAACAACCTGGAAGAGCTTTGTTACTTGGTTAATCCATAGTTTGTTCCTAGCTGGTACAAATACCAGGAGAATTTTGTAAGTATCCTTAAATGTAACTTTTAATAATACAATGCAGATTTAAATACACCAATAGTTTCTAATATTTCTGTAATATATTTTCATAAAATACAGCTAGCATGCTTTATAGATACAACTTAGTAATAGCTACATTAAACTAAAATTCTTTTGGGGAGATATGCTATAAATTTGGTGTAAAGGTGGTATTTATACACAATGGAGTACTACTCTGCCATAAAAAAGATAAACTAATATTCAAAAAACAAATTGACTTTTACTAAGATGTAGGATTTCCATTAATGCAACAGGTAAACATTGTGCTTGACAAAGCTATTGTTTCTAAAAATTCTGATCAAAATTTAATGCAGTTCAATTTTATTAGAGAACATTTTTTTCATAAAAAGTGTGTATATATTTCAGAACTTCAAACTCCAGCCTGTATATTCTGTTTTTCACCCTTTCATTTTAGAAATAAATGCCTCAATGGAATTATAGTCTCTTTGGTAATTCTCTACCTTTCACTCAAGTAATATTTTTCACTTGTTCTTTGTACATTTAGTTTATCAGATTTTTCCCTTTTGTCTCTTTGATGCATTTCTTAAGATGAACACGTTCTTTTACATTTCCTCTGACTTTTGTCTTTTAGAATGTATCTTTGTGTTATTTTTCTTTACTCTTCAGCCTTTTCAAAAGCAAATTTAGTGAAAGATTAAAGTGCTTTAAAAGCCTCTTTGCCCCACTCATATACTTAAGCATACCAAGGATGTACTTCTGTCCAGAATCTCTTCATACTGGAGTCTGATGAGTAGTTGTTTAAAAGAACTAAAGTGTAGCATTTATTGTTCACTCACAAGAAAAAAGAAGAACATAATTTAAAACTGAATACAATAATTATATGCTACTCTCTTTAAAAGAAAATGGGAATATACAGCCTGTTCAAATACTAATCTGTGAATATCTACAAAGTTAAAATAGGCAAAGTTGGAGTAAACTAAATAAAATAAATGTTTAAAAAATTATAGAAACACTTGAGGCTAAGAACTAATTTAGAATGGGTAGTTTGAATTTTTACTGAATTATTGATTGCTTCTTTTAGTTTTTTAGGATAACTGGAGGTAGGGGAAAATCGATCTGAGAAGACATACATGTAGTAAAATCTAAGATGTATCTTTCTGTCATCTCTTTCATGAACTCAGTGTTCTAAAGTAATTTAGAAGCTACTGGGGAATAGAAACGGCCACTGGATGTTGGATTTCATCCTTCAGTATACAAAGCGGTGGAATCTCTGAACAACTGTCACACGCTTTTCCAACTTTAACAAGTCCCTATGTGTAATAATTTTATTAGTATTTGAAAAGAGCATTCCATACATTGAAGTTCATGACAATAAATTATATTGTAAAATATAAAACAAGCAATCTGTGTCCAAGTTTTAATGAAATCCAAACTTGCAAGTAGCTATTAGCATGTCTGTGGAAATAGGGATAAACTTGCATGTTTTGGCAGGGTCAGTGGATACAGAAATGCAGACAAAAGTGGAGAAGGATCTTTGGCATATGAACTAAAAGCATTCAAATGCCTTTCACCTCAGTAAGTGTTTTTCTCATACCCTTGAGTTCAGATTTTGTATCTCCAGAAGAAACTGATTAACTGAGATATGTTATCTGAAGACTACAATTTGAGGTCACTAAGATAAACATACTATTAAAAAATAAACTTTTTAAAAGAGAGAAGAATTTCATTGTAAAAATATTAAAGACAAAGTTAGTAGAGTAAGACTTTGAAGTCTATGTCCTCCTTTTTGGAATTATGTTTTAATGTATAAACAGAAATAAAAGAAAAAGAAACCATAATAATATAGTTAAAAGTTCTTTAAAATATTCAAGTGTACATATTTATATGTACATTTGTATATATTATAATGTACATTTCTCTACTGGCAGTTTCAAGAAGCACTATTACTAATTTCTGTAATTTTGAAGAATAGTGATCATAAACAATATTTTGAAATAGATATAACATTCAACATGGCATGAGAGTACATGTCATTTTTATGTATAAGAAAAGCAGACATTATTATTTTTGCCCATCTTTATGAATGAATAAAGAACCCTACAAATTAATTAGAAGATCAGTGAAGATAATGGTGTTTTTTTCTTGCTCAAGTTTACAAACTCTTGGACTTCTATCAGCACACCTGGTTAGGAACTCTGTCTCAAGGGGTGGAATTTACTGTAACAGTATTGTGATAAGCAAGGGAAGGGGACATTGGCTGCTCTGTTCTTCCAGAAATCAAGGTGAAATGTGTGACTTGGACCTTAGTTACCAAAAACCAGCACAAGGTCTCTGAACTCTAAGAACTAATCTCTAGTGGAAAAGTGTGTGTATCAATAGGAAAAGGTCATTGGTAAATTAATAATTAAAGTGATAATTGTTTTCTAGCATTAAGCATGTATACACAATATTATCATGTATAACTAGTATTGGAAGAATAAAAATAAAAATTAATAAATACATAGATCTTAACCAAAAACCTTAATGTCTTTTGGAGCTATAAAAAAAATCCTTGAGCATATTGAGGAGATACTATGAGGAGTATTGTATGAAGAGTCTATGTATGATATCTATATGTTTCTATTTTTTACATTATTTGAGAGTGACTTTATGAAATATGAGAGAAATATAAAAAAGTAGAATATATTAAGTGAAGTACTTCCCTCTTTTCCTAGTGTAATAATTAAGAGAAATAAAAATCATTTGGGCTACATGACATCAACATATATTTTGAGACTATTCAGAATGTAGTAAAGTTAATTACCATGAAAACTGCATTTTATCACAATTAAATATTGCAGAAAACTTAAGACATTTCTGCACAAAATGATAATGGGCTGTTCATAACCAGTGGGAAATGTATCTTGTATTTTTATTTCATTTGTATTCTTAAGAATATTTATTAGTTGATGATATACATCATTTGCAGTTTAACTATGAAAAAAGTCACCCATAATTTCAGTACAAATTAAACAAGATAGACAAACATGAAATTTATATTTAATGACATTTATTGAATGAGGAATCAGTATTCCTTTTGTCTCATAATTGTGATCTCAGTGTGACATTCAAAGAAAATAATTGGAGAGTTAACATGGGGTTCTAAACCATTCATTGTTTATATATGGTGAAAAATAAATCACATATTACTAATGGGTGAGCAACATAAATACTCACCGATATGGAACTGTATTGGAAATATCCATAAATTTGCAAGTAATTATTTAAAAATATATGCAAAGTTAAGCAATGTGTGGAGAAAGCTTCAGTATTCAAAACAAAATATCTCTCTCCCTTTTTTCTCCTCCCTCCCTCTCAACTGTTCATTCTTCCCAAATACATGCTTATAGACATACAAATGTCTTGAAGCAGAGAATAAAGTGCAAACAGTAGTTAGCTATGATTTCCAGGAGTGTGATTTTATTTTTTTATTTTCCCAGAGTGCACATAGATTAATTTCATTATACAAACAATGTGCTGCTAACAAAATTAGGGTGAAATTTTAAAAGTACATTTTTCTTCAGTGATAACTTCGTTTGAAAGAATATTCAGACTCAGGAGAAGTGATAGTTGAATTAGGAAACACCACATGATTTGTGTCTGGATAGATAGCTCAGTTTAAAAATACGAAAAATATTCTAAATGCTTTCATAGTTTTAACTTTAAAAACTTAAAACTGAGAGATTAATATATATACATATATACAGCTGTTTGTCTAATTCATAGAATTCAGAAAAACTGATGAATCCATTGAATACCAATTATTTTTGTAAGATATTTAAGTATTCTCAGCTTAGTTGCTGGCATTGCATTAAAATTCCAAAGAATAAGAATATTAATCAATCTGGTAATTTTATTTTAAAATAAAATTTATCCTAAAAATATATGTAAAGTACTGAATAACATAAATATTTCTCCAAGTAAGTATATTAGATGTTTTACTTAATAAAATAGTTTTAAAATATCTTATAGATACTTGATCAGAAGTTGGCTTCTCTGTTGTTATATTTTGAATCTGTGAAGATAATGCATCTTTTTTCCTCCAAGCAATTATCCTACCCAATAAAATTTTTACATTACATTTCTGTTACTAAGATGTATGTGAACTATTTTTTACCTTGAATGGTGCTATGTAACTAATCACAAGGCATCATTATTGAATGACATTTTGAAGCACTTCTTAGTACAGTAAGGAAATAGACACTATATTACCTACCCAGTATTTTAACAAGTAATTTCTTTATTTAATAATATTTTAGTTATTCAAATATCCCTCA